GTGGAACAAACACATCAGTAGAATGGCGGAGGATAGAATAGTACGAATAGCACGAGATAAGTCACCAAATGGACGAAGAAGTATTGGCAGACCAAGAAAAAGATGTTGCGACAATTTAAACAATTTAGGAAGCTAATATTGAAGAAGAAACAGGCTTTAAAGCCTACAAACTAGAAGGAAGAAGAAGAAGAAGATCAATATCTTCTACATCAGAAACTTTCTAATCTAATCTCGGCGGCAAATAAACCACATTAAGTGGCATTTTCACAATCTGAGTCTTCTTCTAACAAAACTATTAACTCTTTAGTAGTTAGCCATCTTCATTTCATATTTCGAGAAATTACTGAAATAAACAAATGCACTGCTATATAATATGCATTCATATGATAATAGTTTAGCTTACTTCATTTTAATTTATATGAACTTCATAATATATTTTCATATTTATGTAAACGAATAAACACAACAAACTTTCAAATTAAGTTAAAAAAAAAATATATATTCTTTACAGCACACAGCAATTCTATAAATAGAGAATGATGTGTAATTATGTGTAATTAAAATTGCAGATTGTTCTTAGTCTAATGAAAAAAAAAATATTTTCCAAAGTTTTCTGTTTTTTGAAGTTCTGTATTAGATACTCTCTAATAAGAATAAAATTTTATTTTATTTTGTTAGACAACTATAAGATACCTGTTAAAAGAGACATGATAATTTAATAATTAAATCGGTCTTAGATTTAATTTTTACGTAATTACTTATGTGTATTAAAATTTTTTTGGTACGCCTCTGCAAAATTGATAATTTCAATACGATTTCGTTGAAAAGTTATCGTTAAGGGCTTCGTTAAGTACGATGTTGCCAAGTAATCACCTTCAATTAAAAATTGCTTTAGTATACTATATGATTTTTGTTCCTAGGTTATTTATTTTATTTAAATATATCACCGCATTAACTACAAACAATAAAACATGATTAGATAGCTTTCTGTTGTGATTAAACAATCATAAATACATTACAGAAAAAAGGGTAGTGTCAAATCTAAATAAACGTTATTGCCGGAATAGTGGGGATGAAAATTAGTTGTATTATACCCATAGACGTATAATATATTAACATAGACTGAGCAGTCTGTAGAGCTAAGTGGCGACACAATCTTTTCTTTTAATTGTTAATTGTGCCTGCTTTACATCAAGTAAGTATAGCAGCGTCTCTTTGGGTGAGGAAGAGAGAGGGAGTAATGAGTTGCAATGCGCTAGTGAGTCATTATTGCAGTTTATTATGCAAGGCAAAATTCGAGGAAAGCGAAATGTGGGATGACGAAGAATATCGTGGCTTAAGAACTTGAGGGAATGGTTTGAATGCAATAGTGCAGAACTATTTAGAGTGGCAGTCAAAGGGTTCGTATAGCCATGATGATTTCCAACCTTCGATAGAAGATGGAACTTAAAGAAGAAGACGTGAGGGACATATCGAACAACCGCAAGAAATATTGTCATTACGCGCGGCCAGTATGCTCGGTCTATGTTAATATATACGTCTATGATTATACCATGTCCATTTCATCGACAAGAATGCAAAAAATAGTAAATTATTATCCGCTTACGTGAAACCTAACAGAAGGTCAACTTGTGATTAACGACGGACCCGTTGTTTAAATGGTAAAAAATTCAAAAAGGTGTTTTGCTTTTGGTATCAATCACTAGAAAAAATAATGTCAAAGGATTTAATTTCACATCAGTTTAACTAAAAGTAATCTTTAAATGTATTAGCAAAAGCTAAAAAGCCATCTTAAGGCATAAGTTATACTTATACTTATATACATAAGCTAATATTTCTAGAAAAAGCGTAAAAATGAAGTAAATGATAATATACTGTCATAGACGCAATAAGGTCTTAAATATATAAATATATGAATAAAATCGCAAAATAAACGCTTTCAGGCAGCGTTTCTCAACCTTTTACCAATTGCGACTCCATTTTCCATAAATTATTTTCACCGCGCCTCCTCTCGTATAATAACAATATATGTACGCAGTAATAATCTACCTTGAGTATTTTGACGCTAAACTTACAGTAACACCTTGGTAATTACCAAATTACCGAGAATAAGTAAATTTATTGATATGTGGCAACACTGATCCGGAACCGATGTCTCTCTTCGCGAGAAGTTTTGGGTTATTTCGAACATTCTCGACCGTCTGCATCTCCTCAGTTCTGACTAGTGTTAGTCAAGTCAGTCCTTCTGTACCTGTTAAATTTATTGTGAATATGTATGTTGAAGTTTGTATATTAATTCCAGTTCACGGTATTAAAATATCCCAAGCAGTAAATATAAATTTATATAATATCATGGATACATTTTTAACTGGGTATAAGCGAGCATTCGATACTAGTGAAGCATCAACAAGTACACAGGCGACAGTGGTTCCAAAAATAAAATCAAGAAAATATTTTCAAGAAAACTTAATTTTTGGTTTACTTTTACTGACGTAAATGAAGAAGAAATGCCTCTGTGTATCACTTGCTCAAAAAATTTAGCAGCTGACAGTAATAAACTTAAAAGACATTTGGAAACGTGTCACAATGAGTACAGTAAAAAACCCCGAGAATTCTTCGGCTTAAAATTAAAATTCCACGAAAAGCAAAAATCAGTTAAAAAAACTTTGACTGTGAATGAAAAAGCTTTACTTGCTTCTTATAAAGTCTCATATATCAAATAGCCAGATGTAAAACACCTCACACTATATTGGCGAATAACTTATTTTGCCAGCTGCAATTGAAATTGTAGAAACTATGTTTGGAGATAATTTTGCCAAAAAAAGTTTATAGCTTTATCAAATGATACTGTTGTCCGTCGAATCGTTGATAGCAGATAGCAATAAAGATGCTCATTTTATTGCCTTCGTTCGATTTTGTGATGGCATAATAGTAGTAGAGGAACTACTATTCTGCAAACCAATAGAACTGAAAGCAATATCGCTCTCATTATTTGCTATCTTAAATGCTTATATAAATGAAGCAAAAATAGAGTGGAAGAATTGCATCGGAATATGCACCGATGATGCTCGTGCAATGTCTGGAAAATTTCAAAGTCTACAAGCGCGTTTGAAACAAAAGTCTCCAATGTGTATATGGTCACACCGTATGATCTACAGAGAGGCACTGGCTCCTGAAAAATGTCTTCTGGCCTGAATATTGTGCTAAATGTGGTTGTAACAATAGTTAATTGCATAAAAATGATATATTTGAAAACTAGAATCTTTTCTGCACTTTTAGGATTTTAAGAATGTCAAGAATTATTGCATGATATTTTAGTTAAATCTGACAGTTGCTGAATCGTAATCAGCTAAATGTGAAAAGGTTATTTTTTTAAACGTGGAGTAAAAACTTTAACAATTAAAATTTTTATTTAATTTACATATTAGAGGTCCCGTCCTATGTAAAAATTTTTATTGCGCATTATATTGGAACGGCAGTTTGTCATAATTCCTATTCCTATGGATTTATTATTATTAATTACAAACACTATAGAATTGGCATGTTTGTTTATTAAAAATAACGCTTCCTTCTAAAATCTTTTAAGAGTTGACTGCGAGATAAAAAAATTTAATGGCAATTGCAAGGCATCAAAGTAAACATTCCTGTGATAAAATATTATCGATTGAAATCAGTAATATTTGGATAAGTAATTTTCCGATAAGTTTCTGTGGCAGCCAATAGTTTAATTTTCTGAAGATTTATCATTAAATAGTGGAAATGGTTTAAATAGTGAAGCAGTTGATTTTTGAGTTATTCTACCAGATTTGGTGTGCAAATGAAAGAGTGTTATGAAGTTTAGTTTAAAAAAACAATGTAAATAGTTTAAATAGTGAAGCAGTTGATTTTTGAGTTAATCTACCAGTTCCGGTATCCAGATGAAATAGTGTTAATGGAGTTTAGTTAAAAAACAAGATACAGAGAGAATTCGAACAACTATGACGCACTGAAAGAAGGGTTTGGGACGGACTATACACATATATTGGATACGAGTAACGTTAATACTTTTTGTAGAAAATTGGAATTGTGGAGCAGAAATTTAAAACACAAAAAACAGAAATATTTGCAAATGTGGATGAATGTATTAAAACTTACAAGATTAAAGAACAACGCGTGAAAGTTATTTTTGTAACCATTGAACATCTTTTAGCGAAGCTGACAAAAAATTTTAAAACATATTTTTTCGCCGACAAAAACTAATACTTTGTTACGAGTGGGTTAGGAATCCGCTTGAAATTACACCCGAAGGGTTCTCTACTGCCGAAGAAGAAACCTTTATAGACTTCACGGCAAATGCCGAAATCACAAATACATAGTTTAATAATAAATGCCTCTTTGAATTTTGGGCAGGGGTAAACGATGAGTTTTCTGCACTGAAAACTAAGGTGTTTCGTATACTATTATCGTTTTTAACATCCTACCTTTACGAAACAAGATTTTCCGCGGTGGCTGCTTTGAAGACCACTTGTTCATAATTTAGTATTGATAAGTTCATGTGTAGTACTAACACAGTGTTCTTTATAAGTGTACCTATCTACTATATCAGTGTTCATGTCTATTTTATTTTTTATTTTGTCAGAATTTTATTGTGCTTTGATTTTAGTAAATTAGTCAATGTTGGTATTTTTTTTTCGGTACCACTCCCCCCCTTCCATTAATATGTTTTTCAGATAAAATTGGCATTAACAGGAAATATGGAGACAAATTGTCAAATGTCTGAGGGAAAAATCTAAAAACTGAATCTAGAAAATTTATGGATAAAAAATTTATAATATCTAAATTTACAAACAAGAATTATAGGTGCCTTATATGCGACTATAAAGTATAGCAAAGTAAAAAACTGGACAACAATAACATGAAATGTTAAATCACATGAAACCAGATTATTCATCTAGAACTATGATTGTATGAATTTAGTAAAGTAGGATAAAAGTTTGTTTAAATAAAAAAAAAAATCTTACCCGTTTCCAATTGGTACAGGCAACTTTTGGAACGTAGCAATATAGTAGTTTATGATTATGATCAACTAAAATATGATCTAATTTATTTATATTAAATGTGTTTTTAATTTTAAATCTTAAACCCATATTATCACAGCCTTCTAATACTTGCTCCTGCCTAGCAATTTGGTCGAGCCAGGGATATCTGTCACTTTCGAGAGCTGAAAAAGATATTTAATTTGAATGAGAATAAAAATAACATAAAACAAAGCAAAAACTTTTGCTACTACTGGAAAGTAACTAGAAAACGAAAGATTGATGGTAAATCAAATTTTGATATACGTAATTGTAAAAGAACAGAAATAAATGAAAAAGGGCAATTGAGCTATAAATACATAAAAAATGATTGAAGTAAAATGGTAATGGGGCAAAACATCTACCAACAATCTAAAGCCACAAGAACCCAAAGATATAGCAGAATAAAGTAGGAAAAAAAGATTAAACAAAATTTCAGAAGTAAAGATAACATTAAATCGTAAAGCAAAGTTCTTGTTTTCAAAATATATTTTTTAAAATTAAACAAACTATATTATTTTTGCGTTGGAAATAAAACAACAAAACTTTCTCATAGTGTATTCTTATTTATTTCTCTTAACGATTTATAATGTTTTTAATAGAGAATTTAAAAAGGGTATTGTCAGAATGTTTGAGTTGCGCTCTTCGAACTTGAGGATAGTTAATTTGATTACATAATTCATTTTTAACAATCCTTAATGAGTCTTAAACTGGCAAATAATTATTGGATGAGATTGGTCTTTAATACTTCACATTACATATTTCTAATTAAGATAGTAAAATTGTCATATTAGTGTCAATCCATACGAAGTGGTCCAATATAAATTAAGTTGGTTGCTTGACTATTTTTAATATTTTTCTACCAATTAAACTTCATTCTATAGAGTATACAAAATTGCATTAATTTTATTTTTAAAAAATTTATTCTGTCGATGGCGGCCATTTTTGTTTCATCGTGTTGATCATTTTCACGAAAAACATGACTTCGTTCTTTAGCCAATATTTTCACTTAGATTTCTCCTAGAACAATAGATCAAAAACCAAACTGTTTGTAAAAGTATGTTCTAAAAAAGTCTTCCATAGCATTATTTAATTACAAACTACACTTAAGACCTTAAATGGGCCTCAAAGTTTGAAATGGTAAACTGATAAAATTCCGTTTTCAGCATTTTTTAACAACATAAGGCAGGCTCATAATGGTTTGTATTTTTTCTGGAAAAGACATACATACATACTTTAAATGAAAAAAGTTTGAGCTTTGAGGCCTAAGTCAATTTTTTCAAAAAAAATCTCAAAAATGGAATTTTTTGAAAAATTTCAAAGTTTGAACCCTTATATCTCTGATGGGCAAGCAAGTAAAAATTTGAAATTTGGCTGAATGTTAGTTCCTAATGAGTAGAATAAGGGGTAAAAATTTGAAGTTGTAGACTTAAGGCATATAGGAGTTACAGACCTGAGAAAATGGCAAAAAATAATTAATTTGAGCGTTTGCGGTAGAGTAATTAAAATTCAAATAAACTGTCTAATGAAATAAAAATTAATGTATTTTCACCAAATTTCACACTAAATACAAATTTATACTACATTATAGAAACATTAACCTTCATTTAGAATTTTGACAGTTCAGAAGTTGTGATATTTCATCGCATAAATCTTGAGATATGTTATGATCCAGTTGTTATTTTTAGTTCTGAGGGTGTGATTTTCTTCAAGATTTTATGAAACGGCACCCAAGCTTCATCGTGAGCACTTAACTTAAATGATGTTCTGGGTCTAGAAGGTTCAAAAAAGTGCACATAGAAGTCATGATGTTCAATGCTGACAGTTTTTATTACCCCTAGCCACCACTTTCCATCATACACACAGGCTATTACAAAATTTTCCCTTAGCGAAATGGAGATAGCACTTGTTGTAAAAAATTCTAAATATTTAGTTGCCTGGGATGTTTTAAAACATTTGACTTTATTTTCTGAGATTGATACGATTCGATGAAAAGAACGCGTGCCAGGAATTTTCAAACAAGTTTTAAAATATCTTCAAGTTGTGATTCATGTTGTAGGATTTCTTCACTTTCAACATAATAGTAGTGAATACCTTTTAAAATCCGTGAACACAAATCAAACATATCTTTTGCAGTTAAAATTTGATTCTTACAAGTTGATTGTAAACTGGTTTTAGTAACTTCTTTTTTTGTTGTGCCGCCGACACCATCGCATGCATTTTTCCCGTGGGCTGTTGCAAAAAAGTGCTATTCCGATTGTAGACCAAAATCTTACTCATGATGACAGATATTCAGGAAATTTTTTTATTTTTATACATATTAGCTATTGGCACGATCAGTAAAATAAAATACTCTTTTAACAGCTGGAGCAATAGCTTTTAAGTCTTCAATAAAATATTTCTGAAAACAGTGAACCACGGCAGTGTTATGTTGTTGATAATTACCTATGATGCATAGAAGATATTTTTGTTTGTGGACTGGCTTTCCTTCGATGCGCACAGACACACAGTCTTTTTTTCCAGGGCAAATCCTACTGCTTTCTTCTAAATGAAGGTTAATATTTCTATAATGTAGTATAAATTTGTATTTATTGTAAAATTTGATGAAAATGCATTAATTTTTATTTCATTAGACAGTTTATTTGAATTTTAATTACTCTAACGCAAACGCTCAAATTAACGATTTTTGCCTTTTTCTCAGGCCTGTAACTCCTATATGCCTTAAGTCTACAACTTCAAATTTTTACCCCTTATGCTACTCATTAGGAACTAACATTCAGCCAAGTTTCAAATTTACTTGCTTGCCCATGAGAGATATAAGGGCTCAAACTTTGAAATTTTTCAAAAAATTCCATTTTTGAGATTTTTTTGAAAAAATTGACTTTTTCTCAAAGCTCTTTTTGAAGATCAAACTTTTTCATTTAAAGTATGTATGTATGTCTTTTCCAGAAAAAATTAAAAACCATTATGAGCTTGCCTTATGTTGTTAAAAAAATGCTGACAACGGAATTTTATCAGTTTACCTTTTCAAACTTTGAGGTCCATTTAAGGTCTTAAGGGTAGTTTGTAATTAAATAATGCTACGAACCACTTTTTAGAGCATACTTTTCCAAACAGTTTGGTTTTTGATTTATTGTTTTAAGACAAACCTAAGTGAAAATATTGGCTCAAGAGTGAAGCCATGTTTTCGGTGAAATAGACCGACACGATGAAACAAAAATGGCCGCCATCGGCAAAATAAATTTTTAAAAAATAAAATTAATGCAATTTTGTACTGAAGTATAAAAGCTATCAAAATAAAAAATATTAAAAATAGTCAAGCATCCAGCTTTGGACCACTTGGCATGGATTGACCCGTTAGTAATTTTATTGTAAATCGTCAGGAAAACTAGGAAAGAAGTTATGATACTATCCTGACGGAGCATACAATTATTTGACTGTCAGGGGTAATAATACTAAGCTAATGTATATATTTTGAAAGGAGGTTTAGGTTCTTTTTCGATGTTAAGCAGTTAATTCAGAAATAAATACATCTTCTCTCAACGGAGTTTAAGATTATTATGTTTTTTCCCATTGAATATAAAAGTGTATGATTGCAATTGCAACACAGCACACCTAGTTTATACAGCAAAAGCGTGGCTTTAACAATCAACTCACTGTACATTCTAAAAAACAATTATTGTTTAATGTTTGTATGATACAAAATCTTGAACCCAAGTAAGTATTAAATAATATTTTATATTATTTAATAATAATATACTTTTTTTCTGGTATTAATGGCCTTAGTTAATACCAATTAGCCGCCAGAATTTGACAAATTTGTGAAATGAATATCACTACTAACAACATGAGCGTAATAAATTTATTAATGTACGTTAGTGAGTTAGTTACACTTGCCCCCTTAGTTATTGAAACCAGTCTCATTTAGTCAAAAAGTATGTCTACTTTTTGACTAAATGAGACTGGACTAAAAAATATTAAGACGCAGCATATGTGACGTACGTATTATTATGAATACTAAACAAATACATTGACTACCCTTAAATTTTGGTCAAAATTGGGTATTATATTTACAAAATAACACTAATCTATCGTATAATATGTACTACATTGTTATTCAAAAAAGACAAAAGAAGTGTATCACTTGCCTATTGTTCAATCACAAATTAGTCCATTAATTTGTAATCTCACATTAATCTTAATTTCCTGAATTTGTAGTTTTACCGTGCATAATTGTGAAACATATCGATTTGTAGCTTAATTAACGTTTGTTCAACTTCCTGCAAATTATAGATTAATATATATTGAGGAAATGCATGCAATCATTTCCTCAGTTCAAATTATATTTGCCAGCTTTCAAAAGACAAGGGTTTTTGTCTATGCAGAGGGCAATACACTTATTTGATCAATCGTAGCATTTTAGTGAGATTATAAATATACCTTCGGGACTAGTTTGGGATGCAGTCTATTATAAATTTTTACCTCAACAACTATAGTGTAATAATTCAGTAGCTGTCAATAAAACTATACTTTACTCCACGACTTTAATATTTTATTTTATCATCGTCGATCGAGAAGAATCGTAGACAGAGAATTGGAATTAGAGACATTATAATTACATTCGAATTTGTCCACCTATTTTCTCTACTCCAAACTATATTTGGATTTGTTTTTTTTACTTTAGAAGTTTACTATATGTAGATTATGATTTTTAAGATATCTCTGCATAATGTATTCCACACTCAATATTTTCCAATCATTTCGGCACAGTCCTTCAATATTTTCCCTTTTCGGCTTTAATTATTTTCTACTCAGCTTGTCCGCTTGTTAGTAATATATAAAAATATTTTATGATTAATCTTTTTAGTTATTCATCTAGTATATTATCTTTACTTTTTATTAAACATAACTTTATGTTATAATTCCTCAACATTTCATGTTCCTTTAGTAATATTTCTATATAAAAATATCTGATAATTCTTATAATCTTTAATTACTAACTCTCTTCTGTGCGCTTTTCTTATATTTGTTATTTCTTTATTTCTTATATTCCTTACTTATTTTTTTGAGAATGTGAATATATTGTCGAGTAAATTGTGCACACTATCATTTTTTATGTATTATTAATTCTTGATACTCATCTCCTTAAAGTTTTTTCTTTAAATTGCAGATTTCTCAACGAAGTACCAAGGTTAGCGTTGATTGAGAATTCTGACAGATACAAATCATTAATTTATAACGCCACATTATTTGATATAAAATTAAGCCTCATTATTTGATACCTATAAACTGAACAAATTCTTCGTGCATCTAATTTAATCAAGACTCTGAACGATACTCGAGAACGAATACTTATCGAACTTGTTTTTAATATCGTATTTTCTTATCCATGTTTCCTATATATGTTTTTTTTTTATTTTATTATCTTCGTTCTCATCTCTTATATTAACTTCAACACAATCACTTAGCTTTCAATAATTTAACTATGACCGAATTATCAATTGATGCATCAAATATGCTTTGAGAGAAAAATCCTCAGAAAGATCTTCGGTCCCTATCACGATCCGAATACTAACCAATACCGAATATGAACAAATGCCGAGGTCAAACAAATGTATAGTGCTAGCGACGTAGTCCACGAGATTAAATCCCAACGTCTAAGATGGGCTGGCCATGTTCATAGGCTCCCTAATAACCGCCTTACCAAGTTAATCTGGGAAGAAGTCCCGACAAGGAGAAGGCCCTTAGGACGTCCACGAATGCGATGGACAGATAATATATGGTCAGATTTGAGAACAATGGGGCTACCCACTGACTTAAACATCATGGACGACTGTTCGAGATGGAAGCAGGTTGTGCAGTCAGCCAAGACCCACCCCGGGTTGTAGTGCTACCAGAAGAAGAAGAATTATCAATTTTCTCATTCTGCAAAATATTTTATACTTGTTTATTAGTTTGCCCTTATTGTTAGGAATAAATCTCTTTTATTTTGTTCACATCCAATTTAATCTTCATATCGGAAATCGGTACAACTTTGCTTTAGCATTCACTTTGTATTCTGCTATATTATAAAATATTTTATATTTTACTTTACAACTCTTGTCTCTTTTAAAGCAGATTCAAAGAGATTTCTAACATATTTATCTTTGCGATATTTAAGTAAGAATCGCAAAAAAAATCTAAATAAAAAAATTAAACAAACTCATACGTTCAAATACAAGAAATTATCTAAACGATTCAAATCATATTCAATACAATTAGAAGCAATTTATATACGTGATAAATATGAATGAGGAAAATCATCATTACAAATTCTAAAAATTTACAACTTTATTTTCATTTAACATTCATTTTATATATTTCCGTTTCAAAGCTTCCAATGCACATCATTACACAATCCACTTTTTCGCTTAAAATCACAGAAAAATGAATTGTTCGTTGTCTTCAATTATAACTTATTCCTTTTGATACTTTCGCTTACATTTTCCTTAAAACATTAATTTACTTAATTTTTTCTTATTTTCGTATTTCATAATTAATTTCTGCTTTAGTTCTACCAACTACACACAATAACTATTTAACAATGCCTCAAAATCGTCATGTAAAAACTTACATCATTGATGTAAGTTTTTACATCAATGATTACATCGCTGGATTGACTTGGGAATGATTCTGGAGCTAAGACAACTATTTACTTTGGGAGAAGGTTCAAGTTCTTTTCAATATTAAGTAGTTAATGGAAAACAAAGACTCATCTTAACCCAAAAAATCTGCATTTATTATCTTTTCCCATTGAATGTAAAACTAGGCTCTTACGATTACAATATTGGTTACACAGTAGAAGCGTGATTTTAAAAATTGAGTCCCTTTATGTTCCAAGTTGAAAATTCAAATAAAGAATTATTCAACAGTCATCAATCAGCCAATCGCGTCCACTGCTGGACATAGGCCTCCCTCAATTCTTTCCAGTGTTCTCTACACTGGGCCGCTTGTAGCCAGTTTCCCGCTACACGTTTAATGTCATCGGTCCATCTAGTCGGTGGTCGTCCTCGGCTTCTTTTATAATTTCTGGGCCTCCATTCCATAATACGTCTTGTCCACCGTCCATCTTGTGTTCTGGCTAAGTGCCCTGCCCAGTTCCACTTAAGCGTCGTGGTTCTTTCGATGACGTCTTGAACTCCTGATCTTCGTCTGATTTGTTGGTTTGTTATGTGGTCTCGAAGGCTCACGTTCAGCATTGCACGTTCCATGGCTCGTTGTGTAACTCTAAGTTTATTCGCAGATTTTTGCGTGAGTGTTAAAGTCTCTGCTCCATAAGTTTGTACAGGTAAAACACACTGGTTATAAACCTTTCGCTTGAGACACATGGGAATTGAACTTTTTAGAATATGGCTTAATTTGCCAAATGCTGCCCATGTTAGACCTATTCGCCTCTGTAATATATAATATTTTATATTATTTAATAGTAATAATATAACGTCTTCAACAGTAATATATAATATTTTATATTATTTAATACTAATCAACTGTTTTTCTAATAGTATATAAAAATCTACATAACTACTCCTTATCACAACACAATAATCAGTAGAATGGTTTTCTCATCATATTCGATTACATTTCATGATATACCAAAATGTTTATTATGTTTATTTCTTTCCCTCTTTCTTCGCAATTGCTTGAGCCTTTTTCAAGCATTATTTTGTGTTTATGAGCCATCTGTGTTGAGCTAATGCCTTTTTATCATGTAAAGTCAGTGTCATTGTCTTTACAAAGAATAACTTCTGATTGACCCAACATTTCTTTTAATAAAAAAACTTTCGTTTGGAAGACCAGAGCGCTGGTGTGATACAAAGATCCAGTGTGATACAAAGAGAGTATCAAATTGTTTGCTGTGAAACATCGAATGCAGACCGGTTGCTGCAGTGCCATAGCTAACACACTTCATTTGTTATCATTGTTTAATTATCATAGTAACATCATTAGATGCAGCATCTTATATTACTAAAAAAATCTAAATATTTTGTTTTTGATTATGCCATATTTTTTCTATCTCACATCGGTCAGGTGTCCCGCGACGACTATTTGTTATTTTTATATAAATACGCATCCCAATACGTTTGTTTTAAATTTGTTTCTTCTTTATTTAGTTTTTCAAGGTTATTTAAGTTGTTTTATAATCAAAAACCTTTAATTAAGACCACAAATGTAAAAATAAAATAACATGAATCTTAAATTACAAATTAGATTTCAGATACGCAAATACAAACATATCAGGGATGCAGCAATCATCAAAACAATTGTGTTTATGCTTAAAAAATATAAAGTATGAAATAAAATAAAAAAATAGAATTTCATGACGATATTGAGATCAAATTAAATATTATATCTAATACGTCTTATGTCGAGAGAGTATCATGAGTTTTTCTTGGTCTTATATTCTTGGAATATAATTTAATGTGAGATATTAATAAAAGGTCATACATGCTCTCATTATTTGTCTGATAGAGACTTGTTAAACAAGAACTTAAATCTGATTTCATGTGATTAAATAAACTAAGCTTAAATACTGACAATACCATTTCAAAGGTTTATACTCTAAAATATACAATAACATTGTGTAAAAGAATTAGTTTTGTTTCAAGCAGACTATAGTTTTATACTCTGTTTAATTGTAAAAATTATATCTCAAAAACTACTTCTGATTTAGACGCCGAAAAGTAATTATGATTTATACTTCTAAGTAGGTGTCTAATTGATGAAAAAAAAAATTTATATTACATTTTAGTTGTACATACCTGCTAAAGGGATAATAACTAGGGCTATAAGTGGACTCCATTTTAAATTTACAATTTTTCTTGGCATATTGAGTCAGCATGACTCACTTTTTGAAGCTTCCTTTCGTAATCGTTTAACAAATCGTATTTGGGATCTATTACATATTCCTTAAAACCATTATTATTTTTAAACAAATAAGGAAACAATATTAAACTTATTTAATGTAGAAATAACGTGAACATTTTTTTTAATATTTGCTATAGCATAAATGTTTTAAACAATGTGCAATATTAGCGGAGTGTCAGGAAATACGAAGAACGAAATACGAAATTCAAAACTTGTTATGAAGCTGTCGCTTCGTATCGATATTATGAATATTCTCTTAAATAATTTTCAAGTGTAGACGGTATCGAATTAATGATATTATCGTATGTGTATAAATTTTTACTGTAACCTTGATGCAGTGACCTAAATTGTTGTCATATTTTTATATTTTTTTTGATTCAATACGGTTCAGGTTGTTCTACTTTTGAGTCACTTAAAATACAGATTCCTTGATATTTGTTTTTATATAATTGTTAAAAATAATCGATCACTGTAATATTTATATTTTAATACATTATCGTAATATATTAGACTTTTATTTTTAAATAGGTCTTTTTTTATTCCATGTTTATTTAGCTTATTTAAGCTTTACATTTTTTGCATCTGGCATCCTTCAGTATTCCTGTCCGACAGTGAGAATTATCCATTAACTCGGATGTATGTCATTTTGTAGAAAGCTCTTTTTTTATTATTCCATTATTCAAGACCATCAGCTTAATTCATCCGTCCGAGACAGACATAAACCATTTCTTTTCTCGGTCATCTTGTATCATCCTCATTTCTTGAGCCCTTGCCAGGGCGTGGTGATACTCTAAATATTGTTAGCTTGCTGTCTCCATTGGCAGTGATCCTGTGCTATATGTGCTGGACGGCTTTATGTAGGGATTTACTCACCAGTCTTCATTTGGTCCATCGTGTTGGAGATATTTCCTTCTACGCCCTTCTACTACCAATAGTTCCATGGTCCCCGTTTTTATACCTATGTAACCGAAGTAATTTAGGTATGCTCGGTTTACTTTTTTTAATAGCCTGTCTTTTATATGAAGCTCTTTCAGAATTGACAGATTGATTCTATGTTCTGTTCAGGACATTAGACTATGTAGTAATGGAAAAAATAAGGGAATTGACTAATCCGTCCCATAAACCCCAACAAAAAAAATACTAATTACCTATTACCTATTCCTTTAGCATCCCTCGTGTTAAGAGAATCCTTAAACCGTGCGAGTGAAGGGAAGACAGTGTGTACGGGGAAATTATTAAAATATGTATATACCGAACAACCTGAAAAAGTTGAAAAATGGATGGAAACAATAATCGACGAATGCTACGAAAAAGTACGATACTGGTCACATGGAATATTCGAGATTTAAGGACTAAGCGAATAGAAGTCTTCCTCTGAAAATGGGCAAACAGTTGTCGTTATATTAGTATATGCCTCTAGTGAAGATGCTAATTCGCACACAAAAGATATATTTTACGAAAAACTAAGAGATGTTCTTATAAATATAAATCAAAATAAAGAAATCTGCATACTAGGAGACTTTAACGGGGAAGTCGGAAGAATAGAAAGAAGAAAGCGGATTAGCCATGAAAGTTACGATATTCGTCAGTTTTTTTAAGTCAGACAATCGTTTTTCAAACTCACTTTCAATGTTTCTCAGTTGTGTCTCGTAATCATCATAATTTGAGTGAAAACTTGACCGAGCTCTCAAAATAAAAAAATTAAAAGTCCTTTTTGTTTAATTCGCTAATCAGTAGCTTGATTTTGTTAATAAAACTATTTCTGGCGCTAATATTCAAATTATTCGTCATATCCGATAAGAAAGTTAAATCACGAAGCCATTTTTCGTTTTTAAGTATCTCAGTATGATCGCCTTGGTGATATAGAAAAGAGGTGATTTCAGGTAGTATTCTTGGAACCTTTCTAAAAAATTTCTGGGGCACAACCATCTTACGTTTATACGAAGAAGTAAATCAGTGTGGTCAATAGGCTGGCTAGCTTCCAACTTCGCTCACGAATTGGATTCACAATATTTGTGGTAATTTCTGTCACATCATTCATAGTCAGTATTTTTGAACATAGGACTGGCTGATCAGTGATGCAATGGAATAAAAAAAATGATGGAAAGTCATCGCTGGCTCGACACAATGCAATAAATCTATTTGTATTTCCAGTCATAGATGGTGCTCCATCTTTTATAATGTACACGAGTTTGTAAATCGGTAGCTCATATTGTTTTACAAAATTTAGTAGAAGCTGTGTAAATATCTTCTCAGCGAGTTTATTCTTTCAGGACATCTTTCTTTCACGGTTAATAATGTTTCTTTAGCTGACATATTAAGAAATATCATGCGGATAAAAATACATAACTGGACAGTATCAACCATATTGGTGGACTCATCAAACTGCAAAGAAATGTATACAGGTTCTGGATTCTAACATCTGGTTTATGGAAAGATAGACTAAATTAAATATTATTTGTAATGTAACTGGAAATATAAGAAGCTAGATTTAGAACAATATAAATTTTAAACACATTGTTTTGCTCATTTAAATATTGTAATATAAAATTTTGTTGACGATTTTTTCAACGATTTAGCACAAATGTTCAGCTTAAATTTTAAAGATAAAATATAATTCTGAAATTGTTTCAATACCAGAACTACAATCTTACAATGTCATTAAGTGGAAGTAGTTACAGTCCTAATCAGTGTGCAAAAATACTTAAATAATTTTTAAGTGTACATACTCGCATAAATAATTACAAATATAATACTTACCATATGCAGATACTTCCTTTTTATCATTTCTCATGACCTGCCCATTCTGGATATTTTGAAGGTAAAATGTTTTCCATACGTATTTCCAACTAATTTTCGTTTTATTTCTTTGTCGCTGTTGCTTTAGTGTAAAAGATCGCCGTATTGCTTTCTTAAGATCTAAAACTGTAGTACCTTTCTGTGGGATCTGAAAAATAAAAAAATCTTATTGGCAATTTAACGATCCGGTTTTATCAGCCTTATTCATGAAAATGAAATTTATAGTGGATTTTAAAACATGAACAAATACTATACATGTGTTTCATGTAGACTGCATATTAAGATTGATCTCTGAAAATAATCGGAAACTAAATATAAAATTTTGGATTTTGACATAACTGTAGCTGATCTACACATATAAAATATTGACACAGTGGTGTCACATAGGTAAAACTAAAGTCGCCAACAACTTTATTAGAACATCCTATATATTATTAATTTGTTGGTCTCTGCGTGTAATTTTAGACACATTTTATATGACGGTTATCGCCATATTCAACTTTGACAGCATCTTTGATGATACTTTGGGATGTACTCCCTTTGAACTTTAAAGTAAAAGGCACTACGATTAGGACATTACACATATTAAAGTCATCTGAGCATTAGAGACCAGGAACCATACTTATTTGTCGATACTCAGAAAGCCGCTCCTTTAAATAAGAGGAAATACGCAATCTCGTATTTCCTCTTGGGAGAGATAGTCTCCAAGGGACGGAGGTACCTAGTACATAGATGGATCTAGATCAGAGAAAAGATCAGGGATATATTTTTAATACCAAAAGATGGAAAAGGAACGTTCCTTACTCTAGAGAAGTATTCTACTCTGTTCTCCAACGGAGATCACAGCCATATCGAGATGTACTCATGGACTGTAAGACATCAACGCTAGGGATAGGCATATTAGTATTTGTTCCGACAAATAGTCAGCATTGACGGCTCTTGCTTCTCATATGACAATCTCGAAGTTGGATTGAGAATTCAAAGGCTCATCATAATAAAATCTGTCTTCTATAGGTACCGGCATCAGAAGAAATCAGACATCAGATGATTGGTTCGGTGCCATATAAGTAATGGAAGAAAAAGTTGAGTGACACTAGAACAAACTCTAGATTTCTTATCAACTTATCACCACACATGGACATCTTGGATATGATGCAAAATGAGAATACAAGATAATGTAGGTAGTGTGAGGAAGGGAGTGAAACCGACCTGTGCAATCTCATTAACTGCCCATACTTTCTCCAACACCACGGGTAGTTTATTGCATTTTTATTGACAATAGAGGACATTCCTCGGTTGTCCCAGTGAGCGACCACAAGAAGATAGTAGAACAATGAACCCATTCGTCAAAATTTCATTCATTCATATATCATATATGAAATTTTCAAAAAGTTCTCAAAAATTTTGACAGATAGACGGGATTTTAGACATTGGCAACTCACCTACATCTACGGTTTTTGAGAGATTTACATCATAATTCTATTTTAAACCACAGCAAATTTATAAATGGTACGCCATTTTTAAAATCTGAAACCATAGTTATTCAATAATTTTAAATAAAATATAATAATCTACCTATTTGACTAGGCTAGGACGAATCACACTGTTTGTCCGATGGAGTAACTACGTTACCTAGGAAAGAAATCGGAACTACCAACATCTGACATTTTAATCATATTTTGTTTCTGAAACGATACGGTTGATTTATTGCTAATTTATTCTACAAATTGATGATTTAAATATACTTTTCCTAATCAAAACTAGGAATGACTTCCGAAATTTTTGTCCAACTACAATTTGTTTACTTCTATTAAGATAATTTCCGGTAATTTTACTGCGCATCAAGTGGGCGTGTCGATTGTAGGATTTTCATAGTCATTCCTAGTTTTGACAAAGTGTACCCAAATTCCTAGTTTTGTACACATACGTTGACCTTGAGTAAGAGCCGTTTGTTTTGCCCATGACTACAAGTATAGTATAACAAGAAACGTTTAAAATATGTGATATATACCAAAATTATAGATACTGAAACAAATGTTTTGGTTGTGTATGCAAATGACAAATGATATGTATGTATGTAAAAAAGCCGCTACATTAATTACATGATGTGGTCAATCGTAACAGTGACAACATTATTAAAATCCATAAAACACGCATACACTGACTGCAATAATGCAAAAGAACAAGATATAAGATCTTACAGAATTTTATAAAATACAGCTATATGAATAAAAATTAAATGTAATCCGTAAAATTAAAAAATTAACGATTGCATAATGATATCCAAATTGATTCAACCAATGATATATAATTCCTTATTATCCTCTAATTAGTATGAAAAAACACCAATCGTTTGTAATTAACCGGATCCTAACCTTGATAGATATTTACAAATGCAGACTTACATATTTATTCCATACAGACACTTTCACTAATACTTGTTTAATGATGTATTCAAATATTCTAATACATTTTTTAGGTTACGCTTATATAACGTAAATTTTTAAAATTCAAATGACTGATATTTATACACAAAAAGATAAAATTCGCACTAAATTATATTACAAAGTAAAAAATTGTATTGTATTGTAATTTCAAAGCATTTGATATTACAAAAGTACTCAAAGCATCATCCAGACGTTTGAAATTTAATTTGATAACCAATTTAGAAAGCAATAATAAAGAGTGTTTCGTGTAGTAGATAATTATTTTGATTACTTTACCACCAATAACAAATTAAATAGCTATGTTAAAATCCTTAGCCTTTTTTCAGTACCATAATATTAGGTTGGCATGGTGTTTATGATCGTCTTCAGAACTATTACTTTCAGTGATTTTGTAGATTTTCTTTGTTTGAATCTTTTGTTAACTGATTAATATAAGTGTTCGGTAATATATTGCTTTCACATTGAACTACATATTGTGCAACATAATTTCAATATCGTAACCGATTGTCGATTACATACTCAGAGGCTTTTCTTTTTCTCATATTTTTGCATATGGATCTTAATAAACCACCGGTTTAGAAACAATATTAAAGATGATTCAATCTATTGAAATCTAGCAAAACCATCACTGGGGAGCTGATGAAGATATACCAATTAAGGTATACAGATCTCTCATTCGCTCTCAACTGGATTATGGATGCTTTTTTGACGAAAAAAAAAATACACAAACTAATGAATAAACCAAACGCAAACTAAACCATCAACGAATGTTGGTACGACATACAAAACTCAATATTAGAAAAAGTAAGAGGGCCTCTGAAAACAAGTTAAATATTGACAAAAAATGAATGGATGGCACAGAATATTCTCGACCTGATGGAAGGCAGACGGAAATATAAAAATAGAAATATTAACAAATATATCAAAGTCAAGAAACTCATAAAAAGAAAAATTAAATAAGCCAAAGAACTTTGGCAACAAAATATCATATAAAGAAATGCAACGTCCCATAAAATACACGACAATGTCAACCTACACAAGAAACTTAAATATAGTTCCAAAATTCATCATCATACATCAATCTGTACGCAACCTCTGCTGAAAATAGGTCTTTCAGGTAGTTTAATTTACCAAACGCTGCCCATGTTAATCCTATGCGACGTGGGAGCTCACGTTTGAATAACGCAACATACTTTCCATCAACCGCAATATTACGATTTAGCACCAGACTAGTCATAATTTGCGTCATGTTAATCTTTAGTCGGGATTCCAAGGAACCATGATATAATTTTAACATTATTAATCGCTCATCCATACCATCGGCTATAAGGACGATGTCAACTGCGAATCTCAAATGACTGAGCTTCTCTCCATTTATATTGATACTATACTTGTTCAGATCTGCCTTCTTACTCTGCCTGTACTCCTCGCTGTATCCAGAATTCCGGAATTAGAAAACTAATAATTGCTCACTGTTTGGGAAGGCATGTATTATTTTGTTTCATATATAGCCTCGGCGTCCGTCCCGGGCGTCGGTACCACGACCAACTCAGCCTGTTACGAATACATCAACAGAACCAAAGGGTAGGTCTATGATCTTTGTACAAACAACAATAATGAGTACATCCAGTTAATTTCATAATTTATTCACAACTGATAGTTGCTATTTTTCGCTAATTTATTTACAAACAAATATTGCATTTTTCTTTATAATTATTTATCTAATATCATTTAACTAGCGACCTCTTAAGTTTTATCCTAAACACTCACTTATTTAAAAAACATCACGGACGGAAAAATGTAAAATCACGAACAGCAGTACAAAGAATGGAAGAGATACATCAGTGACCTTTTTGACGATGTTTCTCGAGAACATCCTACACATATCCATACTACATGTGATAATCAGATAGACAGAGGTCTCAGTATACTGAAATCATAAAACCAATACAGCAAGCTGAAAGTAATAAAGCACCTGGATCAGATCACATCACTGCTCAGCTACCTAAATTTTTTTACAAGGAAAACATTACTTACTTTTTTTTTGTGTTTTGGCTTGGACAATTGTCATTCAGCCAGTCTAAATCAAGATAAGTTTATTAATGTAGTGTGTGTGTGTGTTTGTGTGTGTAGAATTGTATCCGAACGTCTGCGGTCCCTCCGGTGTGTACCGATCACACAAGGATAGAAATTATTTTCAATTATTAATTTTTTTTTTAATAAACGAAAATTTCCACCCAGGTGGGATTCGAACTCACGACCTTTAGGTTTAAAGGCAGGCGCTCTTACCACTGAGCCACAGAGGGGGTTTATTACTTACTTAACTATTACCTTTAATAAAATTTAGAACGAATGAAAAATACCAGATGATTCGTTGGAGTAACTGTTTATAACATTACCAAAGAAAAGAAAGAGCCACCAAGTACAGCGACATTAGACCGATCAGTTTGATGAGCCCACACATATAAGATACTTTTACGAATTATAAAAAACCGAATAATTTTTCTATGAGAAAGCAGAACAACGGTGTAGGAACTAGAGAGGCACTATTTTATATGCGGTTTTTCTTACCAAAAAGTTGTGGGTTCCGAAAGAACGTTTATGTTTGTTTCATCGACTTTGAGGACACAGTCGACCGAGTTACAACACGATACACTTTTGATCGCCTTCAATCTGTAGCCGGACTTGACCACTACAATAT